TCTGTCCTGTTCCATTCATTCCAGTCCCCGCCTCCATCTCCACTTTGCTGTCCCCATTCCCACCACCTCAAGCCATTCCCATCCTACCATCCCATCCATCTCCTTGTCCTCACCCCACCATCTTGTCCCCACCACTCTCATTATCCCACCGCACCATCCTCATCCTGCCACCCTGTCCCCACCATCCTATCCTGTCACCACCATTCCTATTCTCACCATCCCACCATTCCTCTGATCCTCACCCCCTCCTTCCTGTCCCTCTTCCAGCCCCACTCCCAGTATCCTGTCCCCCTGCTTCCCATCCCATCCCCACCATTCCATCCAGTCCTTGGCATTCTGTTTGCCACCACCTTGTCCCCCTGGTCTCCATCCCACCATTCCATCCCTACCATTCCACCCTGTCCCGATCCTGCTATCCCATCCCATTCCATCCCCACCATACCATCTCCCTGATCCCATTACCACCATCCCATTTCCCTGGTCCACATCCTGCCATTCCATCCCCACCATCCCACCCAGTCCCCACCATTCCAACCCCCACCATCCCATCTGCCTGGTCCCCACTGCCTACCTCATCCCCACTGCCCCATTCTTCATCCCACCATCCCATCCCATCTCCCTGATCCCCATTCCCGTTCCCACCATCACATCCCCTTGGTCTCCATCCTGTCCCCATCATCACCTCGTATCGGGCATCGTAGACCTTGCGCGCGGTGATGGTGAGGGGCACCTCCAGCAGCGCCAGTAGTGCCAGGTGAGGTGACAGGCCCACCATGAAGCCACCCAATGCCAACACCATCGCCAAACTCCTCAACGCTATGTTGATGCTGCTCGGCACCGCCCGGCACAGCAAGGGCACGTCGTTGGCCAAGCGGGCGGAGAGCTCAGCTGTGGGGATGGGGAGGGGGTAAGTGGTGGGACTGGGGGTCCTGGGGTGGGGTGGGGTGATGGGGACCTCCTCTACCTGCCGGTGTCTTCTGGAAGAAGGTGAGATCCTGGTGCACCAAGCGGGAGAAGAGCTGGTGACGGGTGCTCAGTTTGAGCCGGGCTTGCGCGAAGGTGAAGAGACCCCCGCGGCAGCCGGCAAACAGCGAGCTGGGGAGGGGGGGACACACGGACATGGGGACCCTCCGTCAGCTTGGCCACGGGGGACAGACGGATGGAGGGAGAAAGAGGGACAAAGGGACCCCCCACCTGCCCAAATCGGCAGTGAGGACCAGGCCGAGGGTGAAGATGGTGAGTCCGTTGCCACGCCGGACGGCGTCCAGGGCTTTGCCGGTGCAATACGGCCCCGCGGTCTCACCTGGACGGGCACCAGTGGAGGGGGGGGTGTCAGCAGAGGGGGCAGCAGCAGCGACACCAGGACCTTCCTCCAACCACCACGTCCAGTGGTGGAGGAACCATCACTCACCCAAGACCGCCAACGCCAGGAAGAGAAAGGCGCCGCTGAGGACGGGCCACTCGGCCCACGCCAACGCCAACAGCCGCCCCAGGGCCACCGGTGACTCGGTGCCCGTGGCCGCGCCGGGTGCTGGGGTGGCCCAAGCCAGCAGCGCCGCAGCGGTGGCAACGTGGGTCAAGGCCACCCAACGAGTCACGGCCGCAGCCAGCAGCACCGGGGCGGCACCGTGCGGCACCAGGAGGCTCCGGAGGGTGAGGAAGGTGGCGGGCGCCAGGCTGAGGATGACAGCGGCTCCCTGGGAACCCCCCGGGGCCAGTAGCCGCCTGGCCACTGTGAACGCCAGCAGCCGCAAGCCGGCTTCCAGCCAGGTGGCTACCAAGCCCAACGGGGCCAGCGCCGGGGCCAGCCTGGCCAGTGCTGCCAGCAGCACCACGTCCACCAGGAGCAGGAGGCAGGCCAGGCGGACAGCGGGGAGCAGCGCCATGGCCGGGGTGCTCACCAGTAAAGACCAGTGCTCCCAGCGCAGCTCCCCTGGACGGCACCTGGCACCCTAAGGAAATAACCAGTCAACACCAGTGCTCCCAGTCCGGCCCCCTCGGCTCCCCTCAACCCCACCCAGCACCCTAGGGAACTCACCAGTCAACACCAGTGCTCCCAGTCCAGCCCCCTCGGCTCCCCTCACCCCCGCCCAGTACCCTGTGGTGCTCACCAGTCAACACCAGTGCTCCCAGTCCAGGCTCCCAGTCCTAATCTGGAACCCCTCACCCCCACCCAGCACTCTGGGGTGCTCCCCAGTCAGCACCAGTGCTCCCAGTCCAGCCCCCTCGACACCCCTCAGCACCCTGGGGTGCTCCCCAGTCAACACCAGTGCTCCCAGTCCAGCCCCCTCGGCTCCCCTCACCCCCGCCCAGTACCCTGTGGTGCTCACCAGTCAACACCAGTGCTCCCAGTCCAGGCTCCCAGTCCTAATCTGGAACCCCTCACCCCCACCCAGCACTCTGGG